CATACATACATACATACATACATACATACATACATACATACATACATGCCGTCTCTGATTGGTCTGAACACAAAAACAAACTTTAATCAACTATTCAACCATGAGTTCCTTAGGAAAGTTTTGCCACCGCCCCAAATCGTAGTGGCATGTTGCAGAATTGGAATCTTATGTTTAGACAAAAGCGCAGCCATTATAACTGTTCCTCCAATTGCAATGAGCCAGGGAGACTTCAGGACAGATGTCCTGTCATCTGGTTCCGGTACCGCTCTGGTTCTGAAGGGCTTGGCGACCCGCTCCCACTGAGTGAGGATAACTTCTCGGGCACCCGCCCACTGTCCGGGCCCAGTGAGACGGTACTGATATGGAGTGCAAGGACCGAAGAAAATCTTTAACCAGAGCACAGGATCTCTGAAAAGCAGTCTCAAGAGGTTTGGTCTAACCCCCACCTGTGATCAGAAGTTTGAGAGAATGCCTTTTAAATCAAACAACTTGGCACAATGTGACAAAATTTCACAGTGTCAAAAAATGAACCGACCTGTGCAGCCATGAAATCTATATATGTTATGTAATCCACCTGTAGAGCGGCCTGCCGGGGGCAGGGGTAGCTGATAAAGCAACAGAACGGTTTTTACTTTCATTATGTGATTAGTTTTGACCTGAACTTCAGGGTTCAGTTTGCAAAAGACGTCTACCTGTTCATGTTGCGTCTTCTATCGGACTCAATGACTTCCAGCATTCGTTCTTTGGGTGGCAGATGGCTCGCACCTGAAAGATAAAACCTACCAACTGATACTGCATCTTTCTTTGCCTATCTTTTTCTCTGTGGAATGAGTTTACCTGTGAAGACTTTAACAGCCCAGCGTGCCTGCATCTCCACAATGGGCATAATTGGTCCTTTTGCTTGGAAAAGTCCCATGATCGCAAGAGTTGGGTGTAGCAGAGATGGGGGAAACACTCTTCTGGATTATGAAAACAAAATTAAATTAGAGTCTGTGGTCATAATGTAAGCACAATCATTCATTCCTCCATGTGGGATTTAAATACAAAGTTGTGAGAAATTCTCACACATTTTGGCTGCCACGTTAACCTAATTTTAGGATTTAACACAGGTCCAAAGAGTTTTTTTTTTAATCAAGCTTTGAATTAAATTTTTTTGGTTTTACAAAACAATTCATACAAATGCTTCCATAAGTAATATAAGAGAGAGCCTTTAGGACAAAGTATCGTATGTCCCAACATTTTGTACAGAAACTGTCAAACTAAAATTGATTAGCTAGAACTAATCCATGGCATAGGATTCTTTAATCTTTTTACCTCTCAGGCTCAGCTCTAATAGCTAAACTTACTTGTACAGTGTCAGCTCTCCATTGGACAGAAATGAAGGCAGGAATGGGAAAGTTCCATTATAACCAGTGCAAAATATCACAGCATCTATGTTTTCTTCCACGGTCCCATCTTCAAATATGACTCCCGTATCTTGGAATCCTTTTATGTTGGACTTCATGACCACGGCCCCTTGGAGGATTCGGCCTGGAAGATCATCATTGATCAAAGGCCTTCTGTCCAAGAGTCTGTCGAAGACAGGGAACTATAGGTTGAGTTAATAATATTTTTGATATTTCGAGTTTTCTGTTAGTGCAATCATCATGTAAACTTAACAGTACTAACATTGTATGTCCCTTTGCTAAATAAATTATGAAATATTAAAAAAGAATGAGTAAAACAGTGAATTTATTTATTTCCCAACATTAACTTTGGATTGTGATTGCATTTTTGTCCTGTAAATGGAAACCTCCAAGAAATGTCATCATGTTAGCATCAGGCAGTAATTAAGAGACAAACATAGATTAATCATTTAGGTATCAAACATGTACACAACTCACAGAGCAGCTGTTCTGACCAATGTTTCTTCACACTCTCTTTGCCCATCCTCTAATAGCTCATAAACAGATATTTTCCAAACTGTGTGGGATTGTTTCAATCAGCAATAAAAATCTAGTGTTCATTACCTGTGCCTGGGTTTCAAACCATACAGTTTGTGGTTATATTTATAATTCAGTGCTCTCTCTGCTGCCCAGTTGACTAAACTCTTGGGTAGCACCGTTGCCAAGAAGTTGTTGAACCTGGTAATAGCCGTCATGTCCAGAGGAAGGCCTTGGCTAGACATTCTGCCAATCACCCAGGCTCCCTGGCGTGTACTGAGAAATGTCTGGCAGGGAAAAGAAGATTAGCTGTGAGTGCATGAAAATGCAGAAGAACAAAGAGATGCATTGGCGTGTTGTCTAACGATAGTTAATTCATGTACACTGGTTCTGCGCTTTAACACATCGGTGATACGCTACCTTCTCTGCAGATCTGCTGATCTCTACCGCAATGTCTCCTCCAGAGTTGCCAATGCCAACCACCACCACCCTCTTTCTTCTGTATTCCTCTGCATTTTTGTATTCCCAGCTGTGAAGACACCTCCCATGAAAGGTTTCGTACCCTAGGGCAGGACGTTTTATGCAGATAAAAAAGCAGATAAGGGTAGCTTTTTTATTCCAAGACAATTCCAAGCAACAAAAACAATACTGAACGTAATGCCTCCATTTGATCACCTTGAAAGTCAGACATCGGTACGGCTGGGTGGGTATAATGGCCCGAACACACCAGTACAGCATCAAAGACGTGTTTTTCTTCTTCACCATTCTCGTTGGTTGTCAGTACGTCCCACTGACCCGACAGGCAAAAGTCTGGCCTCTGAGCAACTCTCCTCACTGTGGTCTGAAGTGTGCACACCCACATTTATTAAAACACAAAGAGCTTTTAATGTTGGATAGAAATGACAGTAACAATTAAACGGGAGTAACCTTGAAGTTAATGTGTCTGAGCAGATCAAAGTGCTCAGCATAGAGCCTGAAGTACTGAAGCAGCTGGGAGTTGTGCATGTAGTTTGGGTAATGGTCGGGCATCGGAAAATCACTGAAACACATCATCTCTTTGGAGGTATTGACTACCAAAGACTGGTAGATACTTGATCGCTCCGGTTCAGCTGACTCCTGTGGGCACAGAGATTGAAGTCAATAAAACCATGACTGGCGCTAGAACACTTTTTAGTAATCGTGCAGAAGGAGATAGAAACATGCTAGACAGCACCTAAATTTACTATCAAGGGTGATAGAGTCCAGCCACTTACCTTATATTTCCACAAGCCACCAATGTCATCACTACTTTCAAAGCAGACAGGCTCCAGCCCCTCATCCACACAGATCTTTATACAGGCCAGACCCGAACTGCCTGCTCCAATGACTGCCACACGTTGAACCATGGCTGGGCGCTTAAAGTGGAGCATTGTCAATCACAAGTGTTTAGGCACAAAGCTAGAATTTATGTGCGCATGTATTGTTTTTCTACAGACCCCATCCAACATATTTTGGAAATCAACTGGACACCACAGACCCATATAGACACTTCTGTGAGAAATACTTGGAATTACAGCGGTTGTCACCATTTATTGTAAGTTGATGGTAAAGTCCTGAGCAGCAACAATCAAATGTTAATCAGCTTATGTGGATTGCTTTGTAATCAGTCCAGCAGCACTGCAGACAAGAGACTTTAACTGTTTTGTGCGACGAAGCATGTCTTTTTAAGTGAAGAAGCAAGTGGTTAACCAGAAGTTAAATAGAAAGATGATCAAGTATTAACTACCAGAGACGATTAAGAGACTGGGATGCTCAAACTCAGGGGATTCCTGTGGGACAGAGACTAAAGCTGATAAAAACATGACTTCAATGAGGACATTTTACAGCCTCCAAGTTTTCCTTCACGTGTGTGTATCTTTGCTTAAAGCTCTCTAAACTACCTGCTTCACCGGCTTTCACGTGGCGGAAAAGCCACCACCAATCACAAGTGTTGCACACCAAAAAGTAAAACAGAGTCAACCCAAAGTTCACCGTGACTCCATGTGTACAGTTAATGATTTCTTAAAACAGACCTGTTCAGAGACAAAGCTGGGTCAGCGGCTGGAAACCACCAAGTACATAAAGAGACGTGTGTGTTCTCAACAACAGCAACAACATGCTTTTGATATCATAAAAGTAGTTCTCACCATCACCTGTTCGCTGAAGAAATGTCCTGCTCGGCAATGGTAAAACGTTAAACAGCATCTAAGGTATACGAAGAGAGCTGTTGCCTAATCAGTTCATGAGGAGGGACTTCAACCCCGTTTGAAGTTGGTGGAAATGTGTCCTCTACTCAGAGAAAAGAGTGGCTGACCAGAAGTGAAAGAGATAGACGACATTTGGAATTTGACCCCTGGCAAGAGCTTGGGAGCTGTGGTTCAAAAAAATTTTAACTACATATTAGGCTTCCCATACAAGAAAAAGATATCAGCTCTGAACCTCCTGAACATAATCACTTTTAAGCTGATGTAACGATTATTTAAATAGTTTGTAGACATTTTGTTACAACCACCTTCCATTTGAAATGGGTGTAACTATTTTTGTAGGCTGAACTTCCCGCATAGATTAAATGTTGCACAATAAATCATCCACATTGTGGTTTCTGGACTTTAAAATCCAAGAAGAACAACTTCCTCAATGATCAACTTCTAATAGTGTCTAAAAGATTAAACCAGCTTAGCAAAGGTAACTACTCAATAAAAACAAAAATGAACAAGTTAAACTGCATGACTTTATTCCAGATGGAAGTGTAATGTTAAAAATGTTTTTTTTTCAAGAGCTCAACCGGCTCTATACTTACATCAAGATCTGAAGGTTCCAAAGCAAGTTGCAAAATGACAGACTAGTCAGTTTCTCTCTTTTGTTGAGTCTTTGCATCTTGTTTGGCCTTTGTACAAGTGGAAACGATGGAAGTTACAAGTCAAGTTGAACCCGTATAACAACATCTTTAGCATCTCTTTAGCTTTGCCTTTGTGATTTCCTGTTTTACCTTTTTTCCTGTTTTTATTCACATTGATCCTTTGTTCATACTTCTTTTTTTTCTCAGAATCACTGAGAAAAAAAAGGCAGAGTGCCACGCCCCCTGCAGGGGACTTAGCAGTGATATGAAAAAAAACACCAAAGCACAGATACAATCAAATCACACATCAAGGACACATAGGGAGGGAGGGATGGGGGGTTGGGAAGAAGGGGAAAGGTAACAGCGAGGCAGTGAGTCCAAGGAATGCATGAAGTCTGTACTTGTGTGTGTGTAAGTGTAAGCAAGCTGGAGTCCACATCCACAGGCTAGACGGAATTTGTCCTTGTGATGCCCATACTCCTGCTTGGGAAGACGGAGGGGGTGGGAGGGGGGCAAAGCGTCGGTCTGCAGTTTCATCCAGGGCAAGTTTGCAGAGTAGCAGCTGCAAGGCCGCTCTCGGGAGGCCAGATTGAGATAAGAGAGATAGCTTCATTCATAGTGTCTTAGATAAAACTCTAGGCTTTGCGTACTTTAATTTCATTTGGCGTTTATCTATTCAGCTGTCAAGTGAACCAAACACGTGGCAAGATGGGGGCTAAGAAAAGGAGAGAAAAGAAAACCAGGCAGAATATAGACTGGCGTCATAGCCAATGACACCACTGCGTCTAATAAAAGTTCTAAAACTGATTTTAAAAAAACATTCAAAGGGTTTGTTTTGTGTATACGTGAAACTGATTCACATAATAACATCACAATAATCCCTGCAACAATGTCATAGATCACAATGCAAAAAAGATTATATTGAACTAGATTTTCGAACAGATCTAGAAACAGCAGATAATTAATTTGCCTTTTCTGTGTTGTGACCAACCCGGCCAGATCAAACAGTTTGTGGACGGAGGTTGGACAAAAGTTTGGGGATGGTGTCTGGGTTGCGGGTATGAAAGTAATATGCTGCGGCTCCTCCTGCCATCATGGTAAGGCTCAGTTTGACCAGGCGGCCAGTAAAAGAGGGTTCCTGTTCCACCACCTGAAACACATGGAAAGAGAAACTCTGGGTATAACTGTAAAATGTTTATGCTGAAATAGTTTGTGACTACATGCATGACGTTAAGTAAAAGTAGTTGAAAGTGATTCATCCTGACCTTTCTAGTTTTAAGGGGCTGGTACATGCGGTCAAACTGGGTGAAGATTGCCTTGCGGGCCCCGTTCCATTTCCCTGGTCCCATCAGCCGATACTGGTAAGCAGAGACAGGGCCCCACAAAACCTTCTTAAACAGAGGGTAGTCTGTGAAGAAGAGCCAGAGGAGACTTGGCCGCACCCCAATTTCTCCGGCTATTTCGTCCATATAAGAAACAAAATCCACCTGCAGGGGTGTCAGCTTTGACACAATATAGCTGTGGAAGTGATCAGGAGATCAGTTATGACTGACAAGAGCACTGAAGCATAGTACAAGATAAATATTAACATGGCAAATGGTTTATGGAAAGGAATATTCACTTTTTATCAATGTCATTGGTGTCCTTTTCGACAGCCTTGATCATGGACCGGTTTGAGGGCAGTTTTTTTTGTCCTGAGAATAATAAAACAGAGATAGGACAGACTTGTGCTTTAGTGGAATGTAAACCAACGGCAGAGGGTAAGTTATCCATGTAGCTTCACCTGTGAAGACGCGTGTGACCCAGCGGGCCTGCATTTCAGCTTGAGGCATGATGGCTCCAAGCGCATGAATGAAACCCACCACAGCCAGGGTGGGGTGCTCCAGGTTTGGAGGGAAAACATGCTTGTACAGACCCACGCGATGCCCAGACTTGTACAAGGTATTGCTCGGCAAGTAAGGGAAGTCATAGTTGTATCCTGTGGCGAACACAATCGTATCCACCTGTTCAAGAGGAGAGGCCACCATTCAAATTCCGTAAGAGGTGAAAAAACAGGACGGAAGACATCTCAGAGCAGCACTCTAACCTTGTCTACCGTGCTGCCATCTTCGAACACCACGGTGGAGCCCCGGATCTCCTTCACATTGGGTTTGACGATGACAGATCCAGATAGGATCTTTAGGGGCAAGTCGTCGTTAATAACCGGTATCTGACTGAAGAGCCTGATGACACCGTGGGAGAAACATTTTGCTATGACATTTAAAGGCCAAGAGCCCTTCGTTAATCACTGGGGCGACAGAGTGTGTAGACTCCTGCTCCAGCACATCTGGAGCAAAAAAAAGTCAGCCCCCACCTGTGTTTGGGCTTGAGGGCATACATGGTATGGTCATACATGGCGTTGAGCTTCTTCTCCCCAAACCAGTTGAAGAAGTTCATGGGCAGCAGCTGAAACAGGATGTGAACAAAGCGAGTGTTGTACTTCATGTCCACGGGCAGACCGTTATCAGAAACCTGACGAATGACCCAGGCCCCGCGACGGGTGCTCAGATACACCTGCAGGACAAGCCAGATGCAACTCAGTACGCACTCATGCCCGTGAGGAGCATCCTGCAACGATAGAGCAAGAGCAACAAGGACCTGCTCTGCAAATCTTCCCGTCTCCACTGCAATGTCGCCTCCCGAGTTGCCGATGCCGATGACCAACACTCTCTTCCCGTACATGTCCTCCGGTCCCTTGTAGTCCCAGCTGTGGAGGTACTTTCCTTCGAATGTCTCAATTCCTGCAACGCAGAATTTTTCACCGGTATTGTTATTAGACATCACATGTTGGAGGTCATATGATACTGAGATGAAGAAAAAACTCAACAAGAATCCTAAAGAATGATCAGTGGAAGGTGCGGGCCCAAACCAAATTTACCTGGGAAGTCCTTGAGCGGCAGATTGGGATAGGTGTAGTGGCCGGAGCAGCAGATTACGCCATCGAACACGTGCCTCTCTTCTAGTCCAGCCCTGTTTTCTGTTACCACTTCCCACTGGCCGCTTTGGGCAAAGTCAGGTCTTTGTGTGACTCTCTTCACTGATGTCTAGATTGTTACAAAATGGAAACAAATGCATTTGGTTGCAGATGTTTTTTGGACTTAAGTTATACACCTTTCAGAGTGATGTCCAGTTTGTCACCCTTCTTACCTGGAAATGAATGTGCTCCAGTAATTTAAAGTGCTCTGCGTACATCCTGAAGTAGGTTAGGATTTTAGAGTGGTGCATGTAGTTGGGATAATCAGCTGGAATTGGAAAGTCACTGTAACACATCATTTCTTTGGAGATGTTGATGGTAAGCGAGCGGTATATGCTAGCCCTGTTGGGCTCTGACACTTCCTGCAAAGACAGTGTGCACAGACGATGGCCTCAACTACAACACAGCATCTTACAGTCAAAAGAATCTGATGGATATTAAAGAGTTTTTTCTTTATTGAAAAATGAGACTTACCTTGAACTTCCAGAGTCCACCCATGTCATCACTGCTTTCGAAACAGGTTGGCACCAAGCCCTCGTCCAAACATGCCTTTATGCTGACCAGACCGGACGGGCCTGCCCCGATTACTGCTACTCTGTGCACCATGATGGAGCTGCGGGGCAAAAAGCGTTATTGCATTAACGTCTATCATCTAAAATGTACAACGCTTTATATCTGTTTACTTTTCTGTTCTCACTGTATAGCATTTGATCAAAACACTTTTTACCTAAATTAAAGGCTTTAGGCTTTGTTACTCGCAGCATCAGTCGGTATTGATAGTGGATGGATGGAAAAAAAGTAATCTCCAAATATATACATTAACAATAAAGGCAGTTGTAGCCTTTATTTCCGGTATGTAATTTCTAGTTAATGAGATTTGAGCACTTCTTTAAAGCATGTACAAAGTAAAATCTCATCACACAGATGGTCGTTAAAATGACAATGCACACACCACACAGTGTACAAGTTTGAGAAATCAAAAGACATCGGGGCATAAGACTCAACATTTATATGATAATAGCTCAATAGATTATAATAATACAACTATTATCAGGCATGGTAAAATCAATAAAGATTTATTTCCATCTAAAATATTTTTCACATCATCGAATACTTTAAAAAAAAAGATTCTTTAGACAGTTCCTCATTAGGTCTATTACAACCAACCTGCAGCAACTAGCAACATGACATGTAATATTATGGAATGGATACCAGGAAAACAAGACTGTTAAATTCAATGGGGTTTCTGGGTATATGGATAAAAATCACCTAAAAAATACCCAATAACCAAAATAACTTCTTGAATTGGTGTATATCAGATATTTATTCCGTGCATGTTGTCGATATATCAGGTACAAACTCAGTTTGTTAGACTGATATATCAAATATCTATTCAGTGCATTTATCTGATTGATCAGGTATGTATACAATGTATTAGACTCATATTTATGCATTATATTTAGCTGATATCAGATATTTCCAACCAAACTTCAGGTGAATACCATTAACTGCTGACAAGATTAAAAAAAACAGGGCCCCATCCTGTTTAAATCAATTCATATTTGCCTTAAAACGAATGTTAGATATCAGTTGCTTTATATCCCAGCTTATCAATACTTTATCTTAACTTCTGTCATAAAATTTTTCTCAGTTCCTGGAAGCACATAGAGGAGCTCTGGAGGTGACTGTGCAGTTCTTCGAAAGCACTCGAATTTAGATAAACACACAGGACTTTTTTATTACAGTCCAAGAGCCGTAAAACATGAAAGGCAATCATCCTTTCTGCAAGGGAAAAATCAAATATTTGAAACTTTGGAAAAAAAGAAAACTTTTTGTTTTCATTCAGTCCCAAAAAAAAAAATCTACCTGTTTTCTAATTGTGGAAAAGACAGAGTAGAATCCCCTCTATCCTCCTTACCTTGGTATTCCCAGAGAATCCTGTTTCAGTCAGGTTGGACGAGCATCCCCTCGGCACAGATTTTTATACAGAAATGGCAAACGAAGAAACGCGTTCTTTTCTTTTTTTCCCCACCTTTATCCTGTCCCAAAAAAGGGAGACGGTTGAGCCATGTTTACGCAAATTTGATTAGATTTGCTTTGGCTAAAGTTCAGTTTCTGCCCTGATTAAAGTGAGTGACCCAGTAACAAGGCCACGCACGCCATCCCATCTGTGGATGCCCAGTTAGGGAGCAGTCGAACTTTACTTTTGTGTGTATATGTCACTGACATTTGTAATTAGCAAACTATGAATACTGATATGCATTTATGCAATGAGGAAGACAGAGAAGAACTACAAGGCAGCTGCATTGCTTTCATGTTTTTTGGGGGGGTTTGCCCTTGTGGTCCTGATCAATTATTTCTTTTTGAAGACAAACTAAACTCAAGTCCAGTTTGCTGACACTCTCGAAACAGACTTTTTCCCATTACTGGGAGAAAACCAGGGTAAATGAGCTGCTGTTTGGGCAACAAGCCACCAGTAAATGCCATGGCCATCATGGATGTAAGATTCCTCCCCAAACCAGAGATGGAACAAGTGGGCTAAGAGACGTAATGATGTCAGTGACGGTTGGCCTCAAACACAACTTCACCTCTGAACTCCCGCGGAGACGTATCTTCTTAATAAATCTGCAAATCATGCGTTAGTCGTGACACAAGACATTTTAGATTTGCTGCTTGTTTAATTAGAAATCATTACAATCAACTATCAGATGACAATTCAAAGCCAACGTAAATATTTTCATACAGCGCAGTGTAGTCACATGACTATGAGGCCATAATGCACACACAGCATCAAGATTCCCAGAAATAAGGTCAATATAATTAACATACAGTACATCTCATAGTATTTGGCAGGCAAAACTGACATTTGACAATGTGCTGGAGCAGATGTGAAGACTGCTGACTATTCCTAAGAGCTGTGCAGACGAAATTGATTTACTTTCTGTGAGTATTTTTCTCAGCCGTGGAGTAAACAGGCTGCATGTGATGTGCAAAATCCATCCCAAACACACATTTAAAGAGTGCAACAGCGCTATAAACAATGAAACCTTTGTCTCGGGACTTCTTTTCTTGTTCGGCATATAGACCTACACTGGAATAAATCCTTTTTTTTTTTTTAAACAATTTGGTGGTAAAATGCATTTTCCAGCAGGACAATGTTAGCGGGACCGGGTCGATGAACTGAAGAGCAGCCTCACTGACGCACGCTGGACAGAGCATTGGTCATTTGCTGGAGAAAGCGGGCACCCCATGACACAGGTCAATCAAACAGTCATAGATGGAACAGTCTGTTCATTCTGTTTGGCTGATTCAAGATATCTGGATCTGGTTTGAGTCAAAGTTTAAAACAGCACCGAAACAAAAATATTTCTTTTAAAGAAAAAAAAAGTACACACACACACGCGTATATACATATATATATATACACATATCTAAACAGATATTGAGAATAACGTGCAGATTTTCTTTTTCTGGTTTAGTATTTGTTAGTATTTGTTCTCCTCTAACTCAACTGTATTACACGTTACAAATTCATGGCTCAGAAGCAAAAATCTCACACACATCTTTATAACAGCTCCACAGACCTCTAGGGAAATGTTTATGTGCCATTACACTCTAATGCTCCTTTTTTCGAGAGACTTATCATACATAAAAACATTCACCACGATTCAGTTCAGGTGAAGCGATTTCAGTGATAGATGTTAATAAGAAAAATGATCTGATTAATAACCACCTGCTGCGGGCTTGCATGCACATTATCATCCTCTGTGACGTTTCTGATGTAAAACACACATCTGCGGTGAGTTACAAAACCTCCATGGTGTCATTTAAGGGTATAAAGGTGGTGAGGGATCTCAGCCAAAAACCCAGTGCCCAGTGAGTGGAGCTCTGCCAAAAGGGGGCTCAAACAGTACGTGCGCCTACAAATGCACCGGCAGCCTGATGTAGTTAGTGAGTTGACGTGTGTAAAAACGAACCCCTCCCCTGGCCTGTGCACACTCAAACTGTGACTGACCAGAGCAGCTACACCAGTCAAAAATATACCAATGTCACATCACACACACGTTAATCGCTGGGCGACTCGTCTCAATTTAATGCCTTCACCCATTAAAGCTTTTGGGGATCTTTAATTAAAAATAAATGCAGATTTGAATAATCAAAGCACACTCCAGAGCATCAGGATAGAAAATGAAACATTATTTGTTATGTAGTGTGCATGTCAGCTGTTAGGTTGCTGAGAAGGGTCACAGACTACACTAAACCCAGTAAAAGACGCTGTCAGCTTGTGTAAATCAACACTTTTTTTTTTTTTTAAATGACCCTTTCGTGCCTGTCTAGCACACCTAGACTGACATATTGCATCATACAGAAAGACGCCCTCTGATCCATGAAACTCCTGGAATTGTAGCAGGTTGTTGCACAACAATTTGCTGAGTTCAAACACACATTCAGCTCAATACCATGCCACCAAAAAGGTGCGTGCAGCCATGAAGATGAAGAGAAAAACAAATGAGAATTCAATTTTCATTCTTGTAAAGACAGTTGGAGCCCCCCCAGTGTCATCTTCATCTTCAGGATTTCACATTATATGTAGGAAGAATGATGGAAAAGGGGGAAAAAACCAGTGATATTTCCTTTGCATTGATCATAAGAAGTAATGATTGCTATAATGTCATTGATCCATCTTTTTCAAATATTATATTCAGAGGTATTGCTAAATAAATTTGGGGAATGTTTACAGAAGATAAGGAAGGCTGTTTGAAATACCCTCGTAATATAGGCGTTTTACCAAGATTCACACACCAAAACAAATGAGATCATTCTATTTGGGATGTGCAAACAGGCGTGATCCCCTGAATTTTTTGCGCTTCAGTTACAGCTAAATTCTGGTTTAACATCAAACATCCAGTAAAAGTAAACATCAACACTCATGCAGCCTACATTTACAATCGTCAGTGTATTAAATTAGGCAAAAAAACTAAACAACTGCGTATTCTCAGCTCGTGAGTTTTTTTCTTCAGTTTTTCAAACTTCTGTCCCTGTTGAGTTATACTAAGGCGTGAATATACTGTGTTTGCTCATGTGATTTGCCCCAATCTTTAGGAGAAATTATCCAGAATTACCAATGTGTCATGGATGTTCGGAATAAAAACAGAGAAAAAAAATCTGAACGACATTATTAGCATTTCTATATTAATGCATTCAGATTCTAGGTCTTTTCTAGCACCTCGTAGTATGTATTAGAACACGTGTACTCCTTCTCTGTCCAAAAGCCACCTGCTTAAGAAGGTCCTGAACTTTGATCATTTTTGCTCAATCAGCGGCGAAAGGCCTGGAAAGTTTTAAAATTTGAGCCTTTGTTTCCTGCATGTGACCGTACAACGTTATAGAGCGGTCCTAAGGACGCTATCAAGCTTATCAGAGGAGCCCTGATAAGGGAGCGTCCAGCTCGGATAACTTCATTGCCATGTCTCCTCTACTGAGGAACGGAGGACTTCTCCAACAGAACATGAGGTGTACCCAGCTCATCTTCTGAGTGTTGCAAATTCAGAATAAATACATCCTGTTTTCAACTCTATCCTCTATCAAACTTACACACAATTTAGACTATATTAGTAACTCATAAAGATAACGAGACAGTCAAGTGGATGCAATCTATCAGAGCTAATTAATCAACTTTTATAAACTAAGATTTGATTTATAGTTAATAAAACAGTCACAGTGTCAAATAGAATGTGCATGATGGAACAATATTTGGTCTGTTTCAAATAAATTAAATGTCTAATTACACGCAGTTGCCCCTGAATACCGAGCAGAAAGTTTAAGGAAAGATTCATGTAAATTGAACAGAACCACGATTCGAGGGAAGCGTTACATATTTTTCTTCTTTCATAAAGAATCCAATTTCACTGCTGATTTGATCTTACATTCCTCAGAAAAGAAAATTGGGATCGTTTGATCGGATTTGGCTGAAATTCAGTTTTTACACTGAACAGCCACAAAATTTAAAGACAAAAACAAAACCACCCATTTCCAGGTTAAAGCCACTCATTTGGCTAAACCTAAAGAGAAGATGCAGACACCACCGGTTAACAACCGTCATGATCCTCCCCTCTCCCTTTGGATGAAACGTGGGTTTAACTGGATAAAACTCGGTCTGTGTGTGTGTTGAAAATCTGCTGAGGCCTGATCCAAACGTTCTGAAGAGTCTGAAGACCCGTTTTTTACATCCAGACCCTAACAGACAAGATGGGCACCTACATAAAATCAGCGAGGTCCTTTATCACAGGCAGTTATTGCCACTGGTTCAGGAAACAGAAGGAATGAGTCGTGTTGGGTGGAGCTGGTCTCATGAGCGTCTATATACATTTGTCTGGCCGTGGTCTTTATTGCTTGGCGAGCTGTCCCAGCAGCCCTTGGAGGGTTTGTGGAGAGAGCCAGAGCAGCTCCACCAGATTGTACTGGCAGTAGCCCATCCAGAACCCGAACAGCACGTCGGTCACGTGGTGCCGGCCCAGCAGCACGCGGCTCAGCCCCACCAGCCCCACCCACAGCAGCACCAGCACCCGCAGCGGCGCGGCCAGCACCAGGTGGGCCAGCAGGAAGCGCCCGCACATGGCGGCGCGGGTGGCGTGGCCGGAGGGGAAGGAGTAGCGGTCCACCGAGAAGGTGGCAAACATGTCCATCCGGTTCTGCGCCGGCCGCCGTCGACGCACGACCGCCTTAGCCACGGACACCACGATCAGGTCCAGCAGAAGGCCTGTGGGTGGAGAAGATGAAGAAACGGGTGTGACGGTGGAAGAGAGAAGACACAATTGACAGAGTATGACTGGCAAGGGTCTGGCAGTGCCGAGCGTCAGCTCTAAAACTAACCTTTATCACCACCTTTCAGTAGAAATCAACAACTTTGGCACCACCTACTGCTTGTTTCGGATTCAACAAGCCTGATTTGCACACTGCAGCTAAATCATAGGCCCCCCGGCACGGAGCAGATTCTCTGAATGACCTACTTTAACCGTTAAGTTTACACATTCCACTCGCTTTTGCTGTATATTAGCTTTGTTTTTCTATGCCAAACGCATGCATAACACACAAAGCTGTCCACCCTGGCAGACGGTGTAGAAAAACAGAAGACGTGCTCCTCAGGGAAATAACGGTCCCTCCAACGTAGTTAAAATGTTAATAGCAGAGACAGGCAAGAAAGCGTTGGTACAAACGCAAAACAGCATCAGAAATAAAAAAGTGCAAAAATCAAATGTTTGACACGTCTTATTTCAAAGACTAAGTCTTATTCTCCAGTCTAACATAATTTACCAATCCATTTTACAATGACATCTTACTGGGTGAAATTCCAATGATTGAATCAAAATCTCTGGATGCCTGAACACTCCTAATGCTGACTCTATGGATGGTTTAACCTGAAAGGAAGGGAAGAAAACAGTCGTATGGCCTTGGAAGAGATTTGTACACATTGCATATGACCAATCTCAAGTCACATAACCAGTGCTTTCAAAATATATAATTCAGTGATTCATCTCTCTAAAGGGAGAGCAGTCCAAAAGCAATCCCTCTCTCTTCGAGACAGTTCAGGCCTTTTCTGATCACTTGAAATGAACCCTAACCCTTCTTTATTTAGTACCTCTCTGAGCAGTCACTGACAGCTTAAAAGGGGATCTGCTGGATGCTGACAGACAAGTGGAGGATACAGCTTAAGCCCAGCACTTTGGTTAATTACAAGAACTGTCAAACATGGACCCTTCTGGACTGGACAGTTTCCTGCTGTCAGAGATGACACAGGCTGTCTGGAGACATGCGGGGCTGGAAGCAAACGTCCAAGCATTAAAAACAGAGGACATCTACAGGGGAAAGCCTGTCAGCACAGGTGACGGGAAGGAGGCACGAAAAAAAGAAGGAAAAAAAAGAAACGGGAGGTGGGATCAGCTCGAGCTTAATATGCGGGTATCTGAGCCGCAACAAATAGCGCACACATGGACTTTGGATGAGAAAGATCGCTCACTTGAGCTTGGATCCTAGCTGTATAGATTTTACAGAATGTGTACATAAGAGGGGGGAAAACAAAAAAAAAAAGACAACCCGTGAAAAACACATAAGAGGGTTTTTTACCCAAAAGAAGGTTGAGCATGACTTCTTGTCCCGTGGCACTGTCACTCTTGTACAGGCAGTACGCGGCCCCCACCAGCCACGGGATGCCGTGTCCGGACACCTCCAGCAGCTTCATCAGCGGCCGCACGCTGCCCCACGACGAGTCCTCGCAGGCGCACACTCCCAGCCGCTTGGACATCCACAGGTCGATGGCCAGCAGAGAGCTGAGCGCCACGCGCACCAGCGTGGGGTTGAGCCGTATGCCGTCCTCCTCCGGCGGCCCGTGCCCGCTCGCCGAGCCCGTGGAGGAGCTGGAGCCCCGGCGCCGGGTGGGGCTCTCCGAGGCGCGCAGGCGGGCGGCGGCGGGGTCGGAGCCCTGCCGCTGGAGCAGGTGCGGAGGCGGGGACCGGTTCAGCGGCTTCGTCAACGACATGAACTCGTACGAGCTGCCGAGCACCGGGCTCCCCCCGCTGCCGCGGCCGGGGTTCTTAGCTTTCGGAGAGGGCATTTTAGTCTGCCAAACAACCGACGTTGACAGTACTGTGTGAAATGATGCACAAAAAAAAAAAAAATGCCGCAGTGTTGGGGTTTCTGCGGCGGCGAGCGCGTTGTCGTCCCCTCAGCTCATCTGTTGTACGTTTGACAATTCCTATCACGTCCGGAAACACCGAGCCGAGCCGCCATGTTTGTTGTTTTAATCACAATGCACCATGGGAAATTGGGTTTTTTTAATGTGTGAAACGTAAAGAATACATTTAAGAGCAGGATATTTTCTTTTTTTTTCGCGCTGAAGAATGTGAGCAAACAAACATTTAACCAAACATAGTATTTTTAATAACTGTTATTCCGATATTCTTTTTTTAACAAATTTTTTTCATTACAAAGAAACAAAACGACGGCACAATCGTGCCGCTAATATGTTAACGAACTCGATAACAATGTTGTGAAGATACTTTCTAGTTTGACACAAGTTTGACATGTTTGGGGTGTTATTTGCTTGTTGTATAAAGTTAAAATTTAAAAAAATAGTTAATATCCTTACGTCTCTTCTCTGATTGGTCGGTGAGCTACGTAAAGTCGGGGACGCCCCTATTTTGTCCATTCATGTGCTGCTCATCAGACATCCTAGCGTTCTAGTCCTCAACGAAGTGGGTTTTTCACGTAACTTCCCTGTTTGTGAGCTGTGCAGACCAGTTGACCATGCCTGGGCTTCTGCTGGGTGACGAATTCCCCAACTTCGAGGCCGATACCACCATCGGAAAAATAAAGTTCCACGACTTTCTTGGCAACTCGTAAGTACCCCGGATTCTGCCACAGTTGCCTTTTAGCTAGGTTAGTTTGTGTGCAAGACCATTGATATTTGCAGAATTGTAAAAAATCTGGAGTTTCTGTCAGTGTTGCGTCAGATAAGGTTACACAAGCATGGTATCTAGACTCGACCATTCTTGAGGGCATGGCCTTGGAAAGCAAAAACTTCATACACAATAGCAAATGCACCAAAGTCTCAAAACTGGTTTACAAGTTATATAGATTGAAAACAAAATGGTTGCATCTGATCTTCGTTGTCAAAATAATAAAAAATAATTCAAATGAAATGGCTAATACTGTTTATTTTTTACCAGCTTCTAAAGATAGTCTTTATGTGTGGTAGCAGTATTTAATAGATGGTCTCAGTGTATATTTAATGATTTTCAAAGAGCAATTTATCCTGGAACATAGAGGGTAAGCACCAGAATATAAAAGCATTTCTTGCTCAGCATTTGTGATAACTGATAGGTCAGTGATACTTAATCATAGTTTGGGATGTTTTTTTGTTTTTGTTTAATCTTTGCAATGTACTTTTTGAGTTGCATCCTCTGTAGTGTCCACACTTGTTGGGTCAGTTTGCTACAAAAAGTGAATAACTGTACACTTGTTGCATGCATAGTGTTTGGGTTGTACTTGGGCCAAGTCCTAACTAATAGGACTAGTTGTTTTTGTTATATAATTACACAGAACAGGCCATGTGCCAAATCTGTGTCACACTTTAGTTTTTGTTTTTGCCCTTCCTATATTTGAATTTGGTTATTCAATAGAAGAGTACCAAGCTGATCCAAATATCTGTGCATGGATAGCCTTGTTGATAGAAATGTAACCACCAGCTTACTGCAGAAAGAATGTCTTTTGTACCTTCTGTGGGAATAGTTGTTGGAATGTGAGAGGCAGCCATCTGTTAAAGCTGTGTCCTAGTTTTTCTTCTTTTTTTGGCTTTCCTTTTGTGTTTTTCAGCAAATAATGCTCCTGCTGCCAATGAACGCGGCAGCTCTAATCCAACTTTTTTGTAGGGTTTTTTCATGGGGAAATGATAGAACAAAATGCACATTTCAAGCTTCCACATCACCTGTGTGGCTTAAAGTTTTAAGACCAACTGGGGGTGAAGCGATTTGGGACTGTGCTGGCTTAATCTTGGCTTCAGGTCACTAAAGAATCAGATGACTGTCACAATGCCAGATAAGGGGTGGGAGGGAGCAACCTTTTGGGCCCTTTTGTGATGATTTACAACTTAAATTCTTTGTGCATATCCCCAGGGAGCACAGCTGGACTTTAGTTTGAGTCTGTGCATTTCTCGACTGAAAGTAATACATTTTTGTTCCCTCCTTTTCGCCAATGTTTTCTCCTCTGTTAGGCTCATCTCACAATCTGCATTTTTTAAAAAAAAATTTTTTTATATTGGAGCCAGCTTGGAAATATGAAGGATTCTGTCTTGACTTTTAGGCTATTTGAACTTGTGACTTGAATGATGAACCTTGACTGAATCATCAGTTGTGTTTGAAGCTTCAGTCACATGTTTAAAGTGATGACAGTGGTTTTTTTTTACTCCCATAACAAAGTGTCTCTTTCTTGACCTCTGTAGATGGGGTGTCCTGTTTTCCCACCCCAGGGACTTCACACCTGTCTGCACCACTGAGCTGGCCTGTGCCGCTCAGATCAGCAATGAGTTCACAAAACGGGGGGTGAAGATGATCGCGTTGTCCATCGACAGCGTTGAAGACCATCGCAGCTGGATCAAGGTCTGTGAACACACGTGCATACCCTGGGAAAGGTTCTACATGCTGAGAGCCCTCAGTACAGCAGCGCTAATTATCTGTGCTGATCGACGATCCTAAAGCTTTTACGCTACAATATTCTCACCATGTAGAATTCAGCTAGCTCAGTATAAAAAAAGACTGAGAGTTGCCTCCTGAGTGGGTGCAGTCACATGTGATGTATATTCCCATTCAGCGTGTTAATCATTTGTACCTGCTCACTGTCCTGAAGTCACTGTTCAAAGTCCATTTATTTTTAACCGGGCACTTTTTTTCCAAGTTTTTCTCTTTACATAACCTCAACAATTATGAACTCTTAAAATATTTCACAGCTCTGATTGGGTTAAATGTTACGATTGAATAGGTTTTGACCGATGCTTCCCTATCATCTCCTCTCCTGGGAAAGATTAGATTCTGTATTTTATTTGAGACCCCACAGTGATCCTAAAACATTCATCTATGATCAAGCAGACGGGGTTTGAAGATTTAAAAGGTTTGTGTCGTAAAATCAGGAAGCGCTGAGTGTGTCTCTTCCCTGTGCGCAGGACGTGATGGCGGTCAGCAGCGAGGCTGACCATACCCTGCCTTTCCCCATCATCGCCGACGACAAGAGAGAGCTGTCAGTCCAGCTGGGCATGCTGGACCCGGACGAGAAGGACAAAGATGGGCTGCCTCTCACTGCCCGCTGTGTAAGGGAACCGCTTTGTTTGTTTGTTTGTTTGTTTCAGTTTATTTGTCCACGTCTGTGCGCTAATCTTTCAGTAGAGCAATCGCAAAGTCACACATTGAACTTGTCGGTCTTCCCACATCCATGTTTGTTTGATGGGCAGGAGTTTTATCAGGATTGCTCATTTGTTGATAGTAAGAGCCAAACTGTTTATCTTCATTCGATATCTTTGCTTGATAAGCATCTCTTATCTTTTTATATATTGCTATAAGAGCAAAAAAAACAATTAAACTTTGACTCTTTGCTTATTTATTTTGTAAAGGTTTTTGGCAGATATCATTTCCGCCTAATTTACTACAATGGAAGATACAAATGCACCAATTGAATGAAATATTTACAATTCTTCATCATGCTGAACTGGAATCATTTAAATGGTTTTGAGTGAAACATGTATTTCATTAAGTTTTTTAAAAAGGGGGGGGGGGGGGGCAAATCTTGGGAAAGGTACATTTTAAGATTTATTTTTTTATCAGTTTTTTTTCTTTATCTGTCTCAGGTCTTTGTCATTGGCCCAGACAAGAAGCTGAAGCTGTCCATCCTTTACCCAGCCACCACCGGGAGGAACTTCAACGAGCTGCTCAGAGTTATCGACTCTTTGCAGCTGACGGCTCAGAAGAAGGTGGCCACGCCTGTCGACTGGAAGGTAGATTATTAAACCTGGACTTAACCTGTCATCATAGACACGTAGGGTTGTGAAGACAGCTTCTCTCAGACGAGTCTCCACCCAGTTTTACGTTTTCACTACAGTTTACTGTGCATTTTGGAACATTTGTATTTAAAGCGGTTATTTTTAAATCTTATTTAAAGTTTAATATCCCTCTAAGATTTTTTTAAATTTTTTTTTAGAGCTGATTAATCCTCCTAGAGGGTGAAAATCCACACGATGCATTTAAACTTGATGCGCAACATGTTTGATCCCATTTGTGCAGTTTATTTGATAAATTGAGCGCTGGCTTATCTGAACTCAAACGGGATGGGACTCTTCTAATCTGGTGATTGTGTTGGAGCGTTCCTCTGATATCCACCTGTTTTCATCTGTTGTAGCCTGGTGACAAAGTGATGGTCATTCCCTCGCTCTCTGATTCGGAGGCTACCGCCCTCTTCCCTAAAGGCGTGACCACTAAAGACGTGCCCTCTGGAAAGAAATACATGCGCTACACCCAGATCTGAAACCGCCAAGATTCAGCTTTTCATTTCATTTTGATCAACATTTCTGGCTTATAGTCCATAAATAGACCTGATGAGCATCAGTCATTTGACTTTTTTTTTTTTTCTTTGCTGTCATCATAATTCATTTTTTGAAAACATTTTTCTTGCTTGTTATGGAACATGTCTTAAGTTTGTTAACAAGTTCCTCTCTTGTGCCTATTTTCCACTAGGTGTCCTCTAAAGACCCAAAGTGGGGTAAATCTAACTTTCCTCTGCAGTACTCCATTAGCTCAGTAGGGGGCGCTACATGCTCATCGTTTTCCACTGACTGCAGCGAAAGCAGCGACCTGTTCTCTGCTGTTTCAGTAGTCTTAAATAGTGGGATGAAAATGAGTATTTACCCATAGCATAATTACTATTCTGTAATTCTAGGCTATGGCACATTGATTATAGTGTGAATATCTGAATTATGATTTTTCTCTAAGAACTTAAGCGTTTCAACTTTCTCCCATATTTTATTTAGCCTTATCATTTCAAATAATCTCGCTGTATCATTTAGATTCTTAACAATTTATAAAATATCAAGTGCATTTTTATAGCTCTAATGCTAATGGGTTCACTTATCTGATGGCTGATTTACTTGGGATGAAAAGGCATGTTGAAAACTGACTGAACTGGAATGTAACTTTCATGTTATTGTCAAAAATGTTTTCATGATCTGGTTGTCTAAAAGCTGTTTGCAGTTCCTTTCCCATCTGTACTCCTGGATGGTTTCATATCAGTAACTGCATGAGGCCTAAAGAGGCGCATTACCTGTTGTTTCACGCAAATGAGAATTCAAGTGCAAAACCAGAAAAAAAAAAACATTTTGTGCAGCAGAGCTCTGGCTTTGTTCTTTTGTCCCTCGTTAATCATCTCATGGTCTCACGGACTTATCTGGAGAACCTTTGGAGGGGCCTGACCTCTAAGTTAAAGACCACTGGAGGCATATATGATCAACAAAACTCCATTCTGCCTTTCTGTATTTGATTCTGAATGCACTTATTCTTGCAGATGACTTTTTAAAAGTGTCAGTGCTTTCATGTCCATCATTTTAGATGTTTGTTGCGAGAACGGGTGAATAAGACTGGTCTGAAGAGGAAAGGTAATTTCTTGGGTTGAATATGATATATTTTTTGCAGTGTGAGGAAATCGGGTAAAACAGCCGGTTGGCCTAAACTCCATGAAAGACACTAAAGCTACCACGAGGTATACGTTTCATCTTTGGGTTATTCAACTGTCAAAACTGCAAGGCTAAGGATCGTATTAGGCACTCTCAGTTCTCTAAAGGTGAATTCTTATCTTGTGCACATATAAGCACGAACACGCACACACACACACTGACCTCATATTCACTGTGTGGCTCAGGAATGCTGAGGTCAAAGGAGAAAAAAAAATGGGATTCCCTTTAAGTGAAGAGGGAGGCAAAAAGTTTTCAAGGGAAGATAAAATGTCTTTGGAGCCTCCTTTTGTTTTCATTTTGCAATCGCATGCCAGAGTTGCTGAAGTGTGCGTGTGAAAGTTAAACCGGTGGATGAAATGCCAGCCGTTTGGCGGCAGCAGAAATGCTCTGAAACGTTGGATAAAGGCTCACGCATTCATCAGGTAACCCCTGCCTCCTCTTGTCTGCTCTTCCTTTCACTTCTCTGGTGGCTGTTTTGTCCCCAGGAGTCATCCGAAACAGCACCCTCACCGACTCCGAGCTGATCAAATGCATTTCTCAAATTCCAGACTACAATAGCTTGTGCCAGAGCATGAGAAGTTCTTTGGGTGTCAGACGCCGGCTTAATTGCCCTTTGCCAGCCCCCACCCCCCCCACCCCGTCACCCTGTTCATCTGTCAGCCGTCACTTTTTGGCATTCGAGCCAACTCTCCCCACCTCAGCCTCACTAGTCCATGTAACACAACACCAGCTCCATCCAGGTCTCGCGGGGCAAAAGACAAGCTGCCGCTCTGTCTTTATGACCGCGCGGCACACAAACACTTTGTTGGTTGATGCTGATCAGACACAGGCAAACACTACAGTGAAAGAGACTGCCTCTCAAACCTGTCTCATCTCTAAGACACTCCAGAGTCTCCGTTTCAAGGGAAGTGAAAGCTGCACACCGTAAAACGCAGAGGCCGTATGAAACTCACCAGTAATCTTGCCTGGTTTGTAAACTAAAAATATTTTGGGCCATATTCATATTTCTCTTAGCAGAGAGGATTTACTTAATTCTCAAATGCTAAATGTTTTTTATAGCAATCTCACATGAGGAATACCATATAAAGTTTCTGCCGTTAAAATAAGCAGATCAGGCAGATTTGAACTAAATTTGATCAACTACAGAGCTTGAAAATTCTGGAGGTTTGTTGTTTGTGGGAGATACAGCTGTTTCCACTGTTCGTAGACGTGAGCTTGAACTAGAAGGAGGATATATTAATCACTCAGAAGCTCCCACTATACCATTATCAAGATTTGTCATCACAACAATTCAGAAAATACCTATAAAAATCTGCAGCGTATTACCATGATACCTTCTTAACCTTAATTTGGGAATTCAATTTCACTGGGGAAAAAAAGACGAAAGCCGGACCAGAACAAAGGAAGGATCAGATGTGAAAAGGTTGGGCCAGGAGATATTGGCTAGTCCTTCCCTTCCTCCACAAACTCCCTATGTGATCTATGCTATTGGTTGATGAGCAGGCAGTGTTGAATGTTCTTTTACCTGCACTTACTAATGGCGGCCCTGCATCACATACAGATGCAGATAGATAACTGTCTACTAGTGATACTAAACGGGTGTCCTAACGATTTAAAACTGAGTCCAGGTATTGTGGACACGCTTTGTTTGGGCACTCTCCAAACAATCAAACTCTGGCTGCTGGATTTGGGACAGATGTAATTGAAAATTGTCGTCATTTTCTTCCACTCTACTAGTTTGTGTCTTGATGGGAGCAAGCCAGTTTGGTTGACTGCAGTTCAATTTTTTTTTGTCTTCAGCTGTCATTGATAAAAAATACTTCCTGAACGCTACATTTTCAAACTTTCATAGTGCAGACGTGAAAACGAAATCAGTTCTCTTACATAACCGACAACAAAAACGAAACAAAGAAAAAACCCAAAACCCAGATAAGCAGACTCCTTTAAATGTCAACCTACTCCCTTAAAGGTGTTGCTGCGAGAAAAGAACTATGAACGCGTGCTTGTGTACATACTTGCATGCGTGTGTTTATTGACGAGCATGTGCTGGCCATGGGAGAAGTCATTATTCCCAGCCTGTGTGCCAGGCATTGACTTCATCACCTGAAGCTGCCCGTGACCCCCGGGTTAACAAGCCAGAGACCAGGGGAGCCACACACCGCACATATCGTATGCACGTGCACTCACATGTATGCCCAGCTAGTACGGCTTGATGCTTTCCAGACGCCCCCCCCCCCCCCTCTCACTCCCTCCTCCATCGCCTGGCACTCTGCACTCTCCCTGTCTCCCACACACTTGAAAACACTCACACTGGAGCAAAGGCCCCTCCCCCCCATCTCACTTCAGCCTCCTTATCAAAGTTTTCGCTCCGTTGGCTTCCCTTTCCCATGTATCCGCAAAACACTGGACATCCTCTTAATTGGGATTGTGGTCATTTTTCTAAAATGAAATCGCTGCTCCGCAAAACGTCCAGGCATAGTTTTTTTTTTTGTGCCGACCTTCCATGTGTTACTGAGAAAGACTTACTGATCGACAATGAGAATGATGAAGACACTGAGGGTCAGACAGACAGAGACATGACTGATGACCTCAGGATTTGGCTGAACTTTTAGCAGCATTATCGGTCTCCCGGTTGACAGCCCCCTCCTTGAGCTTTCTTTCCTCATGCTAAAACAACGGTCAGCAGGCCTCGCCATAGACGCACAGCCCTGCAGACGCAAAGGTTGAAGACACAATGATAAAGCTGCATGATTTGGGTGTCCAGATAGATGCAATTGTTTTGATGGAAGCTCATAAATACCCCGGCCAGACAGGCTGCGGGTTAACGTGGGTTAGCGCTCCGAACCAACACGGTGATAAACGAGAAGGTAAAAAGTGCAGTCTCTTTCTGCCCTTTTCTTTATATCTTTATCAATTTCATAGCCTTTCTCTTGCATTTCACTCGGCCTGGTTCTCACTATTAGAGACACATTGATCACCAGCCTCTGGCACATCACCTGAGTAATTGCTAAGGGTGTCTGGGCTTTAAAACAACTCCAGCAAAGCGCCAAGAGGTTCATCATGGTGACAAGTTAAATGTCTGCTCCCACAATAAAGTGCAGAATTCAGTAGAGTGTATATGTGTGCACACTTATAATGCGGAACACATAGAGAAACATTAACAAATGAGAAATAAAGTCCATCTGCCCTACCACATAACACCATGCTACTTACCACTTTAAATGCTAAGTAGTCATTCATAACGTTTTCACTAAGCATATGACTATTTTCAGTTCCTAGTGTCCTTTTGCCAACATTTTCTGATTGCATTACTGTAACCACATAAAAAATGGAAAAAGGAGGTGTACGTTTTTGGAAGTAATTGATAGCTACACAGAATCAAAATACTGAAACACATCTGGACTATCTGGACTGCAGGATCACTGGATTATATATACTGTATATTGTGTTTTACACAAATGTGGAAATGAACATTTCCAAGTTCCTGTCAGAAAAAAAAGAAGAAGAAAAGAGAAACAAACAAAAAACAACTGGAACACCCCATAAGTCAGATTTCTAAATCAGATGTTTGGAGCAACCTCACCCTCTCCTTGACTGAAACAGTTGTATGATATCTGGTTAACGTCTATACTAATTGAGGAAAAACTTTACCTGACAGGTTTCTGGACCACCAAAAGCAACTGACTGAGTGAATCATACTGTTATGATCCTCTCAGATTTGGACATAAAGGAAAAAAGAAGTAAAAAAGTGAGCTAACAACAACAAAAGTGGATGAAAATAAAGCACAAAGGGGGA